CTCTTGGGGCCATCTTGGGAGCCTCTGGTCTCTTGGAGTTCGGGGGTCGTGGGGTCCAAGGGCGGGTTCGAGGGAGCTGGGGATGTGACCAACTCCCAATGCAACGCCAAACGCTTCGCGCCCGAAGCGTTTGGCATTTCACGGGTGTGTTCGGGCAATCTTGTGGGCGTGTCGTGGTGGCCTCTTGGGACGTCCTGGGGGGTTCTTGGCAGTCCCAGGGGGCTCTGGGGATGAGGCTGAGGAGGAGGAGGAGGGGGAGGGTCCCAAGGAGCAGCGCAAAGCGCTGGAAGGAGCAGAATTCAGCAACAACCTAACTTTTACAACTTCGACCGCTTAAACATCTCACTTCACCGCTAACTGAAACAACTCTGGCCGCTAAAAATTATCCCAGTGCGACCCTACCTAGGAGTTGGAACATTTAGGAAAGCAACATCTACATCTACACCGACAGCTACATGTACATGTACACCTGAATCTACATCTACATCAACATCAACAGCGCGACTCACATCTACACCTACAAATACACCTACAGTTATGCTATGCTATGCTGTGCTATGCTATGCTGCGCTGTGCTATGCTAAGCAATGCCATGCTATGCTATGCTGCGCTATGTTATGACATGTTATGCTATGCTATGCGATGCTATGCTGAGCTATGCTTGGCTATGCTATGCTATGCTATGCTATGCTGTGCTAATGCTGCACTGCGCTATGCTGCGCTAAGCTAAGCTAAGCTAAGGTAAGCCAAGATATGCTAAGCTAAGCTAAGCTAGGCTAAGCTAAGCTAAGCTAAGCTAAGTCAAGCAAAGCTAAGCTAAGCTAAGCTGAGCTAAGCTAAGATGGGCTAAGCTAAGCTAAGCTCAGCTCAGCTAAGCTAGGCTAGGCAAAGCTAAGCTAAGCTAAGCTAATATTAACTAAGCTAAGCTAAGCTAAGTTAAGCTAAGGGGACGTAACTGGGGGAACCGCGGGGCGGATGCTGGGGGGACCGCCCGGGGCGGGTTCCACTGCCCGGCCCCTTAAGCTTACACGGTAAGAACCCTTCTAGGCAGAGCCTAGGTAGGGAAAAAGCTAGTCCCGAACTCGAAGACTAACTCTAGCTCAACTTGCATGCAGTTTCTATATGCTGAAGTTTGTGCAGTTGTTCTACTTGCATGCAGGTGTTGGGAATACAACTGCAGTTGTATACATTTAGCTTAAGTTGAACATGCCGCAATAGTTGTGGATGCCATGCCAATGGACATTCTAACATTCCTATCATTGAACTAGAAATATGTTTAACATGTGGAATGCTCCCAACATGTGTTTTAATAGTTATAACATGTTTGACACACATGTTAGACATCTGGCAATGCTTCGGCAGCGTGCTTCCTCTCCATCAACCGACTTCCACAACGCAACAGCAGCACGAGCCCCCTCACCCTCACCGCCAACATCTCAGTAGGGCACGCCCTGCGGCACCAGCCTCTCCGGCTCCGCCCGCCGACCCGCCCGCCTCAACCTGCCGGGGTTCTCCCGGGAGCTGGCGCGAAAAGAAGGGCCCCCCCCTATGGGGGGCACGCTCACAGGAGAAAGGCGCTTGAAGTAGATTGGGATCTGGGAATCCAAAGATACCCACTTTCGACGACCAGCGTGTAAGTTGCAACACCGCAGTAGCAGCATGAGCCCCCTCGTCTTCGCTGCCAACATCTCAGTATAGGGCCCGCCCTCCAGCACCAGCCTCTCCGGCTCCGCCCGCCCGACCCGCCCGGCTCAACCTGTCG